TCTCTCTCTCTCTCTCTCTCTCTCTCTCTCTCTCTCTCTCTCTCTCTCTCTCTCTCTCTCTCTCTCTCTCTCTCTCCAGCGGGAGCGGTAACGCAGGAATCTCCGACACACGAGCGTGGTCATAAACCTTCTCCCCTACGGAAATGGACTGCCAATGCGCTTTATATAGAAGCGCGTGGGTGCCAGCTGCCCCCGGAATGACGGGCCCCGCAGAGACAGTCGTGCCACATTCCCCACCCCGGGCCATCCGAAAATTACTGTCCCGATGTTTATTTATTTTTATCATAAATTATGTTGGGATGCCAGGGATGGGTTTCAAGGCACCACATTCCGTAAAAACGGGGGCGGTTAACGACGGGTTGGGAATCGACGACCCGCAATGCCCTACTTCGCCGACGGGTCTGTGTCCTGACTGTCGCCGGCCACCCGCCCAGTCCCTGCCCCTCTACCTGCCATCACCCCAACCAGCATCTCCAACACACCATTCCTTTGCCGCATCGCCCTTGCCACAGCCCCTATCTCTGTCGCCATATCTCCCATCTTCGCTGCCATGAGCGCAACACCTTATGTCGTGGCACGTGCCATGTTCCTGGCACCCTTGTCCAGGCCCTCGCAGAGAGACCGCGTGGACTCCTCCATCACAGAAGCCAGGCCGAACATGCAAGACGATGACTCACCTCCCCGCACTTTTCCTCTAGCGGTCCGCCTTGTCTTCGGTGCACTCCCGGTGGGTTCTGTCCCACCACCTTCGGAGCCTGCCTCGCTCGCTGATCCTCTCGATCCAGTCCACCTAAACTCCTCCGACGCCATTGTATTGTCGCAATTGAAGGCAACCTTCTTTCGGTACCACTCCATGGCGTCCCACAACGGCTTCTCAAATGTCAGGGGTATACCCAATATCTTCCTCTCGTCCGTAGTGATGTCGAAGTACCCCGGCTTGCCGGAGCCACTGCACGCGTCACGAATCTCCCTCACCTTCTTCTGGAACTCGGCCCACTTCTTCCTGCAATCCTCCCCTGTCCTCCAATAACCCAGCTCCGTCAGTCGGTCCGCGATCCACTCATATCTCCTTGTCCTTGTCATGTTCTGATGAGCGCCCTCCGCATCGGCCATGATGGCGTCATCCTCGTCGCTGATCCTTGCCAGGGCTATTCGCTCTTCTAGAGTCCATAGGTTGTTCTTCTTGGGTTGGGTCGTAGACTTCCCCCCCTTCTTCCGGGTACCACATGCAGGTCCCGCGGTGCTCCGACCATGCGCACCTCCACCTGGGGTCGTCGACGAATCGGCTGCCGGTCCTTCATCACCATCGCAGTCGGAGTTCTCCCCATCAAACGCAMCCGCCAACCCTTCGCCCGCGCCATCCGGACTCACACCCGCCATGTTGGGCGAACAATCACCGGCCGTGTCCCTCATGGCATTGCCACTCCGTGCCTGTCTACCTTCCGTCCTCCCCGTCGGGGATCCGTATTCCCGTATCACGGCAGCCACCTCCGAGCCCCGCTCTTCACCCATCGCTGCCCTTTGCTGTCGTTGCTGACGTGTCGGCGATTGTCGTGCACTCACCCCGGCCGGAACTGCGACACCAGGTGTCATATACTGCCGCCCCCCCCTTCCCCCCCCTCCCCCCCCCCCCCCCCCCCCCCCCCTGCCATATGTTGTGGTCGCGAAGCACGATCAGGCACAGGTGTCTGCCCCACTGTGGCCGTCCTTTGCGCATGCCTTGCCTGTGGTGGTAGTATCGCACTCATGCGCTGCGTATGTGCCACGTCTTCGTACTCCCCGGCAGCAGCCCAAGCACCGACAACGTCCGTCGATGCGCCTCCCCACGACTCGTAGGATTGGATCGGCCTGTCACTGCTGTTTGATGTCCCTTGTGCAGTCTGCATGTACGTTTTTCACCTCATGATACCTCCACGGCCGCCCACGCACAACGACTCCTTTGTGCTCATGCCCGCGAAAGTCGCGTTCTGCAGTCTACCTCTGTCCTCCTGCTCCGAACGAAGCGTGTAGGAACCATGAGTTGCCATAACGGGCCACGTCATCGGTGGATGCCCTGCCCCGTGCATATGTCCATGGCACTGGACGTCTCCGACCCGAACCTCGTCGGTGTCGTGCATGGATGCACCGACATCCCCGTACAGTTCGGACGTAAAACTTCGTCCCTCCATCGATCTACCGCCTAGTCAGGAACAAACTGATGACAACGGCAGTGAAGCAGATCACAACGACGATGCAAAAAGCAATCAGCAGCGCCACGAGTATCGTCCCGGTTACCCAAAACACAACGCTCAGAATGCAGCCCAGACCGTTGTTGTTGCAGCCCAGGAAGACGATAACTATCAGGCCTGGTGGTGATGTCGTCGGCCGTCCACCACCGTCGCAACGGTTGCATTCTTCGGCAGCTCTCGGTAGCACTGGAGATGGCACGTCCAAAGGATGCACAAATGTCCCCCCACGTTGTGCGTTAATGAGTTGCTGTGTCGGCCGTCCCACAACGTTCCCAACGGGCGCCAACGGTGCATGACAAGGCGTTGGAGGCCACGCGGTTTCGGCTCCTCGACATAGCAAGCTCCTCGAAGAAGTCCCTATCCACGTCGGTTGGATGGCACGCACGAAGTTTGGAGCGTCGACTGCAGACACACCCGCCGCTATGGCCTGGCTTCGTCGACAGAAGGACGACAGCCAATGACCGGGCCCACCTCGATCAGGGAGGGATTCACAGTGCTCCCCAAAGTCAGTCTGTCGTCTGTCACCGAGGACGACCTTGCGTGCCGCTGCATGAAGGCGACGACAACCCGACTTCCACGGCAATGCGCGACGATGGAGGCTGGAGAAGGCTTTCATGACCGAAGCCCAAGGGGAGGAACCACCAACGTGCGCAGCAACGTCGTCACAGGCGCCCTCACATGCAATCGCCCCACCAACGCCGACTGCCTGATGACCCCAACAGAATGCAAAAACCCCACTTTTGGATTTCGAATTCAAATTCAAATTCCAAAGGGCGGGGCTTTGCTCGCCAAAATGTTAACCGCTGACGCGGGGCCACAGAAGGTGGGCCCCGTCTCACTGTGCGACACCGTGCATGGAGCACACTGCTGCTCCAGGACCCTACGAGACGGTTCGGCGGACATCCTGAAGTAAGGCCTGCGACCGACATCTTGGAAACCTTCGGGATGCCTCCACCCCCAACGTTCGATAGTCGGCACAAAATTGCGGCGGAAATCCCTCCCGCGGTACTTTTCCACGCCGCAGACCATGTGGAAACACAATTCCGCACTTTTCCACCCCACAAAGCGCGGCGTGTGGGGCGCGGCGTGTGGGGCCCCGCGGAACACTTCCGCGAAAAACATAAAAATTTTCCACAGACTTTTCCGGCCTGTGTGGGCTCCCGGAAAGCTTTCTGCGGCAAAAGTTTTCCTTGCCGCATTCCTGTGGGGTCCAGGCCTAAGAGATAACACAAGAGAGAGAGAGAGAGAGAGAGAGAGAGAGAGAGAGAGAGAGAGAGAGAGAGAGAGAGAGAGAGAGA